AAAAGGGCTAGGAGTGCAGCTTAGCATGAAGGCTTTGAGTTCCATCCCCAGTACCAGGGAGAAGGAAGAAAGAAAGGCAGGGAGGGAGAAAGGGAAGGAAGGAAGAAAAAAAGAAGAAAGGAGAAAGAAAAATACCCAGAAAAACAAATGAAAAAGCACACGATTCCTCGGGTTTGGTTGTGCATCTCCCTGTGTCCCTCCCCCTCGTCCTCTCTGTCCCTCTCAGCAGGCCGGATGGCGGGGGGCAGGGCCGGGCAGGTGCAGCCTGGGCCGGGTGTGGGCATCGCCACTGCCGAAGCCGCCCAGATTTGTGGCTGTGAGTTCTTTATCTGAGTCTGCAGCTGCCCCTTATCTTCTGGCTTCGGGACAGGAGCCCGGGATTAGGGCGGCCCAGGCCAAGGACAGGAGATGGCCGGGCCAGCGGGCGGCTGGGCGTGTGGCAGTGAGCGGCAGGGAGGGGGGCGCCGTCACCCAGCGCCCCCAGGCCCCGCCCCACGGGCTCGCCACCCCACCCCCTGCCCAGCCTGATTCATTTCCCACCTTGCTGACCGCAAGAAGCACAGCCTCGACCTGCGACCCCAGGCTGTAAACGGCCCCACCGGGACGGTGAGGCCCTGTTTTTACCATCCTTGCCTGGAACGGCTCCTTCCTGCCGCCCACGGCCCCGAGGGCCCCATCCTAGAGCCGGTTCCTCCAGGAATCCGAATCCCGGGTCTTGTGCTGGCTCAACCTGACCCCCAGCCCGGGGGGCCCATCTGGTCCTGCTAGGGGTGAGCATGACTTTGTGGCATCCACAGCCCAGAAATCCAGGGCTGAAGAAGGACTGTGCTAAAAATCAGCATCCCTAAACTGTACATGGTGGTGTGCACCTGTAATCCCAGAACTCTGGAGGCTGAGGCAGGGGGCTTCCTGTGAGATCCAGGCCAGCCTGGGCTCCATAGTGCGTTCAAGGCCAGCCTGAACTACATAGCAAAACCATGTCTCAAAAAACAAAGCAAAACAAAACAAAAACAAGGGTTCTGAGCGGTCCCAGGGACCCAGGACAGTCCCAGCGAGGGGTGCCACCCGTTTCTGCGGCTCCCATCAGATGGCATTTGCCGGTGGCTGGAAACCACTTTGAAGATGGAGAAACTGAGGCCTAGCAGTGCCCTTCGGAAAGAGGCCGTGTGTGTGGAGATGGATAACTCTCAGGCCACAGCTGTGAGGACAGAGGACATCGTGAGTGCCTGGATGCCTCCACCCCCTCAGGGCTGGTCCCTGGGGGTCCTTGGGGTGCAGCCCCAGGCCTGCTGGACCTGGACCAACTTCTAGCACTAAGATGGAAATTTCTCCACCAGCCAAGTTCGTCTTGGCCTGCAGCCGATGGCCTCCCAGAACGTCTCCCCGGGTCTGTACTCGGGGACATACCCTCCCCTTGGGAGAGGCAGCCTCCGGGGAGAGGACAGGGGACAGGGGGACAGGGGGACAGGGGCGAAGTGTTCAGCAGTCACCCAGCCCCCAGGTTGGAGCTTCTTGCTGTGTGAGCTGTGGCCTGTGGCTTGACCTCTCTGAGCCTCAGATTTCACCACCATCAAGAGCCCTGCCCCCACCCCTTGGGTGGCTGTCACCTGGAGCCACCTGAGGGAGACATTTGAGGAGACCATGAAGGAGCGAAACTAATTCCCCGGCAAACACTATGGAAAACAGACAGGCTTTGGGGCCTGTGCCTCAGGCACCCTGCACCTTTCCCTCCTGACTTCACGTGGACTTCACCCCAGCAGTGCTAGCAGTCTCCAGTGGGGGACAGGGCCATGCCTCTGGGGGAGCCCTCTGTGCCTCTCTGAGCCTCAGTTTCCCACCTCTCTGCTCTAGGAAGACTGTAGACCCCACCCAGAGTCACCCTGGCAGCTGGGAGGATGGAGGCTCAGCAACGCCCTGCAGCTGCCCCTGTCTGGGACACGGAAAGTTTTAAAAATAAAGCACTGTAAATACCCATGTTTCCTGCAAAGAGCACAGCCCCAGGGTCCCAGGCCTCCCGGGCAGCCTGGCCCAGACGGTGCCTTTGACGCGAGTGTGGTGACCAGAGAGCAGGGCTTCAAGGAGGGTCCCTGAGACTTTCTGGCTGGAGGCACACCGGCCTAGCTGGGGGTGCAGGGATTCTGCATTCTGCCCAGGGAAGGGTGTCCCTGTGTGGCCCAGTTCAAGGCTGCCATGTGACTCAGAGTGTGACAGGGTGTCTGTCACCACTTGTCTAGGGGTGACACTGTGTGGGCGATTCCAGAGGGGTGGAACCTGTGTTTCCGGTGTGACCACGTAGCAAGCAAGACAGGGTCCCTCTGTGAGACAAGGTGTCTCTGTGGTGTCCCTGGATGTGGTCAGAGGGGGGTGTGGGTCCCGGTGTTTCCCCCTCCACTCAGACATTTGGCCTTACCCCCAGTGCCCCTCCATCCCAGAAGCTGAACCAAGTGTTTCAAGTCTCTGTTGCCGGGACAACCGTTTTATGAGCGTCCACATGGTGGGCATATGTGTGTGTCCTGCACCCCATGTGTCTGACCGCCCCACCCCCATGGCTCCCAGTCCCTGCGCTGAGCAGAGGCGGCCAGGGGCAGCCGGTGACAGCTTAATGGTGGCCGGCCAGGTGGGGCCTTGCTGCCCAGCATGTATGTCCCCGGCAATCCTGTGACTGTCTGGCTGTGTGGCGGGCATCCTCACAGGGATGAGCCCTGTGTGTGTGCATGCAAGGGCTGGGAGGTGTGTTTTCCCGGAGTGGGCATGGTGTGGGTCACCAGCTGGGCTGAGGGTGTGATATTTTGTCTGTGGCACAGTTGGCGGGACTCCTGTGTGTGCATGTGCTTGTGCACGTGCTAACCAGTGCCAGGGAGTGGGGTGTGAGTGTGTAAGGATCTGCTGAGTGTGAGCGCATGCAAATGTGTGGTGAGAAATTTCCTGTGGGCCAATGGCTGGTAAAGGTGTGCAGTGCGTTGGGTTGGTGTCTCTAGGGGACAGCTCTCGGGGTGCGTGTGACTGCGTGTGACTTCGGGAGTCATGTAAGGGAAGAACCCCGTGCGTTCAGGTGCGAGACGCAGGCCAGGGGTTGGTGTCCTTGCGAGTGTGCAGGGCAGGGTGCTTGCCCTGTCCGGCGGCGTGTCTGCCTGTATGTGAGCATGGTGGGGGCTGTGACTTCAGCTCCAGCAAAGGCTCGGGGTCTGACGCCCTTGTGCTGTGTGCGCATTTGTCACTACGGATACGGCAAGGCTTGGGACATCGCGGCCCACGCACCAAGCATGGGAGCTCACACTCATTTGACCCTTACGCACTCCGTGGAGATCTACTAATTATACCCCACAGGGAAACTGAGGCACACGGCATGGACCTGGAAGCCCAAGGCCTTTCAGGACACACAGATCCCTATATTTTCCTCTTGGACTGGGAACAGGCCACCGTGGAGCCGTCACCTCTGTAGCCCACGAATCGTATCCCCTCACACTCGTTCCCGAGTGCACCCCTCGGGCAGCCCCGCAGCGGCCTGGGGGGAGGTGGATGGGATGGAGGGTGGTCCCCGGAAGGCCTAATCCTTGTACCACCCACAGGCTGCTGGGATCGGAGGAATCCAGGACCTGAGCGAGGAGGCCGCAAGAAGGCAGGCGGCGGGGTGTGAAATCACAACGCCAGGCCCCAAGAACGCAGGCAGTAGCTGCTACCTCTTGGGGTTGAGTGCGCTTGCGGGCGCCGGGGGCGGGGCCTCAGGGCAGTGTTTCCCGGCAACGAGCCGGGGGCGTGGTCATGGCCACTTAGGCCCCCGTCCACTTCGCCCAGCTATGCTCGAGAGTTAGACGGGTGCTGTCGCCAGGCGGCGCGTTAGGCACGCACGCTTAGCTGTCGGGGAGGGAGTCGGGTGGGTTTGGGCCCAAGAGCAGGTGGGATGACGCGGGGTACCGAGGGTCCTAGTGTCCAAGAGGGGGCACCAGCAGAAGTCTGGGTGGGAAGGGGATCCCCTGCGGGGCTCTGAGGCCAGATTGGGGGAACTGCTCCTGGATGGGGGGCGCTGTGACCACGCTATCGGTATTGTGTGTTGTTTTAGGGGAAACTTCGTGTACCCGCTCTCTGGAGATGGATTTTCTGGGGAAGGGGCTTCTTTTATTTTTTTGAAAGTGGACTTGGGACAGAACGGGGTAATCCTACAATCCTCAGTGAGGGGAGGGCACTTGTGGGGTGCGATCCTTGCCGTCAGGGTGGGCACTGTGGCTCTGTCTGCCAGAGAGGGATCTGGGGACGTCTAGGAACCTCAGATTTGTGGAAGAGAGGCCGTAGGGGTCCCCGGGTTGGGGCTGGGAAACAGTCCTGAAGACATTTCGTTCTGGGGGCTTCTCCCAAGGGGCGTTCTTGGAGACTTGCTTTGGGGAAGCGGTCTTGGGGCAAGGTGGGGGTCTGGCAGCCAGGGAGGATCGAGGGTCCCAGGCCTGGGCGTCAGGGGAACTAGGGTCACCTCTTTCAGGGAGGAGACGTCTTGGGGGTCTGGCTTTACCGAAGCGGCGCCGTCGGGGTCTCAGGGAGCTCGCCGTCTAGGGGGTCCCCCGCGACTCTGCCACCTGCGCTGCCCGAGGTGGGGTGGGGGTGCTCCCCTCGGGCGGGCGCGGGAGGAAAGGGGCGGGGCGGCTCCGGCCCGGGAAACCCGAGCCGCCGTTCAGCCCCGCCCCCGGCCCCGCCCCCGCCCGCCGGCCGAGCGGTCCGCGGCGCAGCTAGGAGAGCGCGCGGTGCAGCCGCTCCGAGCGCCGCCGCCCGAGCCCAGCCGCGCGCCCGCCTGCCCTCCCGCGCGCCATCCGTGCGCCCCGCGCCCTGCAGCCGCCGCCGTCCAGGGGGCCCCCGCCCTCGCCCCTGCCGCCCGGGATGGCCGTCGCCCGGGGCTAAGCGCGCCCGGGGGTGCGGCAGGGGGGACCCCATGGGCCGGCCCGTGCCGCGCACCCCCCGCGGCCGCCTCCTCCGGCCTGGGCCCCCCCGAGCACCTCGGGCCGGGGCGGCCCGGATGGCGGGCGCGGCGGCCAGGGCCGGGGCTGGGTAGTCGGCGCCGCGAGCAGGTAAGCGGCCCGGTCAGGGCGGGGTCGCGGGGATCCCCGCTCTAAGCTCTGGGGAGCCCGGGGTGAGTGAGGTGGTGGGGAGGGGGACAACAGGTCGGCGCGCGGAGGGGCGGGGGTCCCTGTGCGCCTCTCCAGGCCTGCCCGACGGCGCGCGCTCGATAGCTTCCTGCGCCCCCGTGGGTGCCTCCCAGGAGGCCCCCGCGTCCCCTGTCCTGGCCTCCACCCGGGAAAGACCCACGCGCCCCTCTGCTTGTGGTCCCCCGGGGCCGCCAGGGGCTTCGGGACCCCGCAGACCCCGGAAGGGGGCTGCCGTCGCGGCCCAGCTGCGCGCAGAAGTAAACATCTGTCAGCAGCGCGTTCCAGCCGCGTTCCCCGAGCGCCGCCGCCCGCCCGCCGGCCTGCCTGCCTGCCGGGGACACGGTGTCCTCCGGTGAGGGCCTGGCCCTGGCGTAGCTCGCGAGGCCGCCCGTTTAGCCACAAGAGGGCGTGAAACTCTTGGGGGGGGGGTCCCTTAAGGGCAAAGATTGTGTTTGCAGGGGGTCGAGGTGGAGGCTGGCTTCCCTGCTCTTGTCCCTTGAGGTCGGTGGTGGCTTCCAGTCATTAGGCCCAGGGGGTGGAGACAGAGGGCAGACTTGGGTGGGATATCGGGAGAAATGGCCCCTCCCCGGGGTCCATGCCACCAGGCTGCCTCCCCAGGAAGCAGCACAGGTACTAGGTACGCTGCCAGGCTCACGGGGCCTCTGGTCACCTGCACGGCTGGGTCACCATAACTTGCAGGGGTCCGGGAGGCTGGACCCCTTCCTGGCCTGTTTCCTCCCTGCCTGGCTGCCCTACCCTGCCCTGGTCCCACTTGCGTCCGGGTTCCCTGACATTCTTTGTCTGTCTCCGGTGCTGCCGCAGGCTGAGGAAGCCCCAGTTCAGCGTGACCAGCCCGGGCAGATTCCCAGCCTTGCCAGCTTCTCTCTCCCCCACCCCCTCCCTGCTCCTTTCATCCCAGGACTTCTGAGGGTCAGAGTTCCCAAGCCCACTGTGTCCCCAGCCAGCTGCAAAAAGCTAATTGTAGGGGCACAGGGAAGAAAACAAATGGCCCCCTCTTAAGCTGGGCGGGGTCTCTGAAATGCCACCAGCAATAGTATTTACCCCTCAGGGTTTGGGCCTTGATTTTCAGGGCACTGAGCAGAGGAGAGCACTTTCAAGTGTCTGGGGCAGAAGGAATCAAGAAGTTAGCAGCCAGACACAGGAATACAAACAAGAGGTTGTTTCAGTCTGTGTCACGATGACTCTTGTCAGGAGCTTGTGTTCTGTCTTTCAGACTCAGAGATACAGAGCTGGTGGAGCCCTGAATGAGGAGTGGGGCCTCTACCGAAAGATAGGAAGATCAAGGTAGACTTCCTGGAGGAGGGACACTGGGGCTGGGGCTGCAAAGGATGAGTAGGAGTTTTCTAAGTGGGGAAAAGAAAGGGCATTCCAGGTGGTGAGAATGGCACATGCAAAGATCTAGAGGCAGAAAGAGGAAAGAAGATGGCTCATTTTGGAATATGTAGGGTAACCCAGAGAGTGGCACAGAGAGACTGTTCTGGAAGGTTGACAGAGGAAGAACCTGTGAGGGTGGCCAAGGACAGATCTCAGCGGAGAAATGGAGAGGGGAGAGGAGCTGGTCCTTCTGGCATCCAGCATCACAAGGCTTCTCTCTAGGGCCTTCTCTGAAGGGACATCTTTCAGGGTCCTCTGGTGGGACAAAAGGTCCAGGCCTCAGGGCCAAGGAGGGATTGAGGGGCAGATGGGGATCTTTTTTCTTTTTCTGGTACTGGGGATCAAACTCAGGACCTTGCACTTGCAAGGCAGGCAAGGTGCCACTGAGCTACATCCCTGGCCCTTGTTTTTTTGAGACAGGGTCTTGCTCTGTAGCCCAGGAGGCCTCGAACTCACAGCAATCCTCCTGCCTCAGCCTCCCAAGTGCTGGGATGATAGGCATGCACCTCTGTACTAGGCGAGATGAGGGTTCTCTGATCTACCTAGTGAGTGCATTCTGAGCTCCAGGCCGGCCCAGCAGAAGCCCAGCCTCAGCTCCCCATTTCACAGCTGGCAAGACCGAGGCAGAGCTAGGCAGAGGGGTCTTTCTGTGAGCTCCTTCGTGCAGGGCTCTGGCCCGGGATGAAGTCAAATGCAAAACAGCTGCCACCCCTGCACAGGGCGGGTGGGGTAAGCAGAGGGGGACCCTTTGCTTGCAGGATACCCATGCTGGAGAGGTCCTGAGTAGGGAGCGAGTGGAAATGGGCCTCCTGGCAGCACTGTCCAGGATCGTGGACCAGACACCTCATCCAGTCCAAGTGAAATCAGGCTTCAGAGGCAGGCATGGTGGCGCACACCTGTCATCCCAGCACTCAGGAGGCTGAGGCAGGAGGATCACTGTGAGTTTGAGGCCAGCCTAGGCTATATAGTGAGACTCTGCTTTGAAAAAAAAAAATCAGGCTTCCAGCAAGCCCTGGAAGAAAGTAGACAGCAGTGCCTGGCTTGTAACACGTGGCTCCACTCTGCTCTGAGGAAACTGAGGTCTAGAGCAGAAACAGCCCTCAGGTCTAAATAGCACAGTTTGTTGCAGGGACCGAGGCCTGATTTGAGTCTGAGGAGATGGCAGAGGTGACTCAGACGCACTGGGCGGGACTGGCCCCGTCTTCGTCAGCGTCATGGTTCTAGCCCCACCTGCACTGCCTTGGTGCCTTGGTTTCCCTTCCACCAGCTGCCCAGCTGCCCAAGGTGGCGTCTTCCTGGCCGCCCCCAGAGGACCTGCATCTGCTGAACTGCGCTCCGGGCACCATGCCAGCTGCTCAGCAGTGCCAGGCCTCATTAGCCTTAAACCTTTTCACCCACCCGAGCCCCGCTGCTGGCTGCAGGTGCCTGTGGGGCCCGCCAGGCCCGCCTGTGTGGTCAAGGTGGGGATTTTACAGACCTACTGCTGGGGCCGAGAACCAGGGCCGCCCACACCGCTTGCTCCCAGGCGGGACTGCCTGCCCTGTTAGCTTCGCTCCTCTTTCCTTTTCTACTTTCAGAACTGGGGACTGAACCCAGGGCCTTCTCACTGAGCTCCATCCCCGGACCTTTTTATTTTTTGTTGTGAGACAGGGTTTGGCTAAGTTGCCCAAGGTGGGCTCAGACTTGTGATCCTCCTGCCTCAGCCTCCCAGAGTGCGGGGATGACAGGGATGCCTCAGTGAGCTTACCTCTGACTGCTTCCTCACCTTGTCCCTGGGCTCTGGTTGCTGCAGCCCCTCTGGTGACACCCAACAGGCAAGGTCCTGCCTCCCAGCCTTGGCCCTGCGTCCCCTGTGCCTGGAACAGCCTCCCCTGTCGGTCACTCGTGGCTGCCCCCTCCGGGAAGCCCTCCCTGGTCCCCCAGGCACCATCGAAATTGCCACCTTTGTTTGATCTTCACCATCTGTCAGAGCAGACCCGCCAGGCTTCTGCACTCTCTGAGGCTTTTCCTTGTTGGTTCCATGCCACTGTGTGTCTTTGAGAAAAGCTCTTAGCCCCCCTGGGTCCGTCTGTGCACCAGGCCTGAGCCCTCTCTCTCTTCTCTTCCTCTCAGCCAGGGGGCTCCTGGGCAGTGGCTGTGGAGTCATTTAGATCCAAACCCTGGTTCAACCTGTGTGACTCTGAGCAATCATTTAAGCTCCCCGAGCCTCCGTTTCCCCATGTAGAAACAAGGCTACCAACATCTTTTTTCAGGGACTGTGCAAGGGATCGAATGTAGGAGAAAGCACTTAGCACTGAGCCAGTGTTGTTGGGTCTTAATATTATTGTTATTGCAGTTACAGAGGCTGTTTACTACGCAGTTAAGAATGTGGAACAGTGGGTGTTGGAACTGGGGTTTTGAGGGGTGACCAGGAGTTTGCCGATCCATGTTCTAATCCTGGCTTAGCCACTTGGGCTGTGTGGCCCTGAGCAAGTCACCTCATTTTTCTGGACCTCAGTTTTCCCATCTACCAAATGGGATGAAATACTGCTTGCTTTGGCAGCACATGTACCAAATGGTACAAAATAATTCATACCTTTTTTCTTCCAGTCCTGGGGATTGAACCCAAGGCCTTCACATTGATGTACATCCTCAGCTCTTGTTTATTTATTTTAATTTTGAGACAAGGTCTTGCTAAGTTTTCCAGGCTGGATTTGAATTTGTAATCCTCCTGCCTCAGCCTTCTAAGGTGCTGAGATTACAGGCATGGGCCACTATACCTACTATGATCTTCACAAACACCTGGCGCAGACCTCCTTGGCACAAGCCACTGTCCCTGTCTGTCCACCTCTTGCTTTAGCAAAGACAGACCCAGAGACAAGCTTGTGGGGCATGGTGGTTTATCCTCAGAGTTGTGGAGAGCCAGTGATGGCTCTAGCAGGTGAGCAGCACTCCATTTCTAGGCACTGGGGAGAACAGGACAGGCTGGGGCCAGACGGCCTTCCCTGGCTGGGACAGGAAGGGACCGCTGGGGGGGTCTCTGCCTCCCCCCAACACCAGGAGCCACCCTGTACCCTGGCCCCTGGCCCCCACAGACACTGCGTGGAAACATCTGTGCTGGCCAGATGTTCCTGGTTTGCCCCCAGATGTATGTCGACGGCTTCCAGCTGCCCCAGCCTCCCTGCTGTCCCCTGGTGGGGAGGGGCCGGCCCTGGGGGCCTGGGGGGGCACATTTTTGTGGGCTGTGAAATTTGTTGCTTTGCAGAGCCATCGTTTCATCTTGAGAGAAGCCCAGACCCCTGGCCAAGTCCTGCCACTCGTGGGGCCTCAGTTTCTCCACCCATTCGACCCCAGGGACCCCCACAGGCCGTCCGGGAAGTGGAGATGCATGGCGCGGCCCTGGGAGTAGACCCAGCTGCCAGCTGTGGAGCTGAGAGCGCTGACAGGGAAACAGAGTCACAGGCGCACGAATGTGTGGGTCCGAGGCCTCGGCCTGCTGGCCTCCACCCCCAGGCCTGGGGAGGAGTTCATTGAATTCCGTGGCTCTCCAAATAGGAGAGACGTCCCGTGCAGACCATTGTACAGTCAGAGAAACTGAGGGCCAGGGAACCTGTTACCATTTAGAACTAGGCAGAACTGGCCTCTGAGCACAGCAGGCCAGAGCCCCGCGCATGCGTACACCCAAGTGCGCGGCCTTTCTACTCGCACATGCGCACACCTGGCTTCACGTCCAGCCTCTCTGCCTCTTGGCAGCCGTGACTGTCCCCACATCCGCCCGGTCAGGTCCTTCCTGGTGTTCCAATGGTCCTTAGCATCACCCTTTGGCTGCAGATGGGGAAACTGAGTCACCAAGGGATCATGAGTGAGGGGAAAGTCGGGGGGGGGGTGGCAGCTGACCCCACGATGGCAGGGCTAGGCAACTGGGCAGAGCTTGCAGCTAGAGGAGCAGGTCAGGCTGTCTCTAGGGGTTTTAAGAGCTAGGGCCTTGAAAGATGAATAGGAGTTTGCCAGGCATGGATAAGCCAAATTCCCAGCTCCCGCAAAGTAGAAGAGATGACTGGATGGGAAGAAGGTTCCCCTCACCTTCTTCCTCTCCCTGGAAGGAGCCATGAGGGAAGGCACCTGGCCCCAACTTCGGAGCACCTGGAAGGGGGGGCCATGGGGCCCCAGGGCATCGCCTGTCATTTCTGTATCTTTAACACCCGCACACCCTCGCCCTCCATGCCCTCCTGTGGGCTTCTCGAGGCCCCTCTCAGCCTCAGTTTCTCCTCTCTCCCTGTCGGTCCCAGCAGGAAGCTGCTGACACCTGGCCTGGGTCCTTCTTGCCGAATTCAGACTTGTGTGAGTGGTAGAGAGATGCTCCAGTCCTGGACGGCGGGAATTCTCCAGCCTGGGGACCTTGTCCCCAGAAAGGAGGGGACCACTGCCCAGGCCCTGACTTGGCAGCATGGGTGGGCCTGGCTCCTGCAGGTCACAGACCCCGCCCTGCAGTCCTCTCCCACACCTGCGCCACCCCCTCCCGCACGGGTCTGTGCCACAGACAAACCAGTTGGGTGACCCGCACAGAAGGCCATTGTTAACGCTGCTTATCAGTGGGCCAGCGGCCCCCACAGGAGCGCCAGTGGGGGTCTGGACCCCAAGGCCATCAGGCTGTGGCCCTGCATCCTGGGGCTGGTTCCTCACACACCCGCCCTGTTCCCTATTAAACCCTTGGTGGAAACATGATCAGAACTCAGTCTCTTCCAGCCAAATGGGAAACTGAGGCAAGCCAGTGCCAGACAGGTGTGAGGGCAGCAGGTGCTAGTGGGCCAGTGAGGTCTGGGTGAGCTTCCCTAGCTGTCTCCCCGTCCTGGTGGCCAGGCTGCCACCAGCATTCAAATCCAAGCTCTGTGACCTTGGGCAAGTAACATTACCTCTCTGAGCCACAATTTCCTTTCTTTTCTTTATTTCTTTTTGAGACAAGGTCTTGCTCTGTAGTTCAGTCTGGCCTTGAATAAACAATAGCCCAGGCTGGCCTCACATTTGTGGTGATCCTCCTGCCTCAGCCTCTCCAGAATGCTGGGATTATAGGCCTGTGCCACCATGATCTGCTGTTTCTGGTCTGTAAAATGAAACGCCTATTACTGCCTTTTAGGACTCTTGTGAGGTTGAAATGCTTTAACGTGGGGTAAATTTGTAGAGTGGGACTGGGCATACAGTAGGTGCACATTAAGAGCAGAGGGGCTGGGTTTGGACATCCATGAGTGTCAGGACAGCTGGTCCCTTCCCCACCTGCCCTGCCCTTCCCTCTCTCTGCTCTCACTCCCTCTGCTCCAGCCCATGCTGCTCCTACACCACACCCAGGCTCCATCTTGGCCAATATTTTTGCGTATTGTCTGTCTTGGGCGCACAGTGTCCTCCAGCTGGCCCATCATAGGTGCTCAATAAACAAATGTTAGATGGGTGGGTGGATGCATGTGTGGATTTATTGGGAGTACGAGAGACCTGACAGTTGACATCTGCAGGCTTGGTATATACTTAATAAATGCAGTGGGCTTCTTGAAATGGGCTTGATGCTGGATCAGGGCTACACACTGAGACCTTGAACACTGGAATTTTTATTTTTTGCAGTACTGGGGATTGAATCCAGAGCCTTTATACTGAGCTACATCCCAAGCCCTTTTATTTTTTATTTTGAGATGAAGTGTTGCTAAATTGCCCGGGTTGGGCTTGAACTTGGGATCTTCCTCCCTTAGCCTCCCAGAATAGAACTTGGGATCAGAGCCACCCAATGCCAAGCTTGTCTCTTTCCTTCCTTCCCTTTTCCCTTCTGCAAATATCTATGAAGTGCTTATTCTGTGCCTCTCTCCTCGTTTGAGTCTCATCAGATCTGCAGATCCGTCCAGGATTTGCTTACTCCCGCGCTGGGGAGCTCAACCCTCAACATCAGCAACAGTGACAAAAACAGAAAAATAGCCATACCAGGCTGGGGGGATAGCACTTGCCTAGTATGTGGGAGGGCCTGAGCTCACCCTCCCCACACACATATACAAAGCAATAGCAACTACCACTAATGGAGGGCCCCCACCTATTCTGTGCCTCGGCTTCCCCTGCTATAAAATGAAGATGCAAGCACCTTTCTGATGGTTTAACGCACAAATGGTGCTTGATAATTAATTAAATGGTCCTTGGTGGTGTCGTCACCGTGTGCTAATGCGTCCAAGTGGGAGGGCGTCTGAGTGGAGGAGCGGGTTGGATTTCCGGCCTCGCCCATGCAGAACACAGGTAAATTGCGCGTTAATCAATGCTGCACGCAGCCTGCGGGGCCGGCGGTGCACGCATGGGGGCGCTGGCGACACCAGCCCAAGCCAGGCTGCAGCCACCGGCTCAGCTCCGCGCTGTTGTAAATGTTTACGCTGGGCCAGCGGCCAGGCTCCGCGACCCCAGGCGGCCGGCGGGAATGTAAACGCAGCCCGGGCACCGGCGCGTCTGAGCCCAGGAGGGGGCCGCGCGGCAGTTATTAAACGCCTACTGTATGCAACGAGCTCGTCGTTGCCAGGCAGCCGCAGCACTGAGTAACCTGTGCCCTCATGGGAGGGCAGATTGGGGGTGGTGCGGGCCAGAGGGACCGGCCAGAGGCCGTCAGCGAGGGCTTCCTAGAGGAGGCTCTGTCAGAAGGGGCGCCAGAGTGGGAGGGAGGGAAGAAGAGTGGGGGGGAATCGCCTGGGCCAAGGTAGGGGGTGGGGGTGGCACTCGGTGTTGGGGAAGCGTTGTTCTGTTGCTGCCCACTGTAGAGTACCGGTTTATCCCTCTGGAGGGGAAACTGAGGCTCGGAGAGGGACAAGGAGTCATTCAAGGACACAAATACGCAGGGCAAAGTCGGGCAAAGTGGGCTCAGGTTCCACCCACCCTTGTCCTACACTGCCCCTGCCGGAAGCCCTCACCACCCTCCTCCACTTGCTGGATACACCGGCTGGTTTGGGCCTCTGGGCCTTTGCACCACTCTGCCTCCTTCCCCGCCCCAGACACTATGCTCATAGGCCTGGCGAACTCCCACCCTTGTTCAAGCCTGGGCTCCACCGTGAGCCTCTTAGGAAAACACTCCGGGACCCTGAAAGGGGGGCGGCTCCCCTTTTACTCTGGCACCGAGCCCGCCCCAGCCCTGGCAATGCCTCCCCAGCATGTTCCATGGTTCCCAGATGAATCGTTTCGATGCTACTAATGATTATTAAGCACGGGGTGTTCAAAGGCAGGGGCCCCGCTGTTTGCAGTGCCCGGCACCCCGTTTGTCACCAGAGACAGACGGAGGGCGGCGGCTGACTACCCCGTGCCCGCAGGCCGAGGATGCAGCGCTGGAAGGCGGCAGCCCTGGCTTCCGTGCTCTGTAGCTCCGTGCTGTCCATCTGGATCTGCCGCGAGGGTCTGCTGCTCAGCCACCGCCTGGGACCCGCGCTGGCCCCGCTGCGCCGCCCCCCTCGCACCCTGGACGCCCGCATCGCCCGCCTGGCCCAGTGTAAGCGCGCCCTGCCCTGGGGTGGCCGTCACGCGGGAGTTTCAGGCCATGGCTTTTAGACGCCACAGGGGGAGGCGGGTGCAAATCCCCCCGCGGGACTGACGGGGGAGGGTGGCTGCCGGCAACGGGGTCCCTCAGTTTAGCTGTCGCAAGGAATGAGGCCCTGGCCCTGAGGGACTATGGGGGCCAGATGGAGATTAGACCTGGCGTTCAGCCCGGCCTTGCAGCACAGCGGGGGTCCAGGGAAAGAGAGAGGCGATCCCAGGGTGACCTGCCCCAGTGTCAGGGGCCAAGGGGAGGGAGACAGAGAAGGAGATCTGGGGATGGGCAGAGGGGCCCAAGATGGGGAGGAACAGAGAGAGAGAGCGCGCCCCAGGCCTGGGTAAGAGCTGCCAGGCGCCCTGGGAACGCTCACCTCCGGGCACAGCCTTTTCTAAACTCCTCACCCAGCCCTGGCGCGCTCGTCTGGCCGCAGATTCGGTCCCGTGAGGGCGGCGCGTGGGCCCTGACTCCACGTGCATGTGCACGTGAACGTGTCCACGCGGGTGGCGGGCACAGAAGCAGGTGTGGGCGCGAGCACGTCTACGCTCGCCCGCTGCCAGCCCACACAATCCTCCATTCTTGTCCTCACAATGGACAAGGGTAGCCTGGGGCAGGAGCTTCGCTCCCCTGTATCCCAATCCCCCACCCTCCTGCAAACAGCCACGTCCTTCGTAGGACACTGGGTCCCCAGACCTAAGCCAGCCTGCAGGACCAGGACCTGGGGGCAAGGGGGAGTGGGTCTACCCAGGGCAAGTGCCTGCCTGTCTCACGTCCTGTCCCTGGGCCCAGCCTGTGGGGGAAGGCAGTGGCTTCTGGTCCCCCCCAAATCCTCAGAGCTCAAGGCCCCGAGCTAACACACAGAAAAGGGGTTGTTTTTTCTCCTCCTCCTCCTCCTCCTCCTCCTCCTCCTCCTCCTTCTTCCTCCCCCCGCCCCTTAATGAGGATTCAATCCAGGGCCTTTGCAGTGATCTATGTACATCCCTGGCCCTTTTTACATTTTTTATTTAAGCTTTTGAGACAGGATCTCACTAAGTTGCTCAGTCTGGGCTCAAACTTGCCACCCTCCTGCCTCAGCCTTTTGAGTAGCCGATGATAGGTGTGCATCATCACACCAGGCTGGACAAGTCTAGGAAGGTGGACAGAGGTGGGGGGAATCTCATTTCTGTTTTTCCAGACCCCTTGTAAATAGCCAGCCCTGCTGGAGGAAGACAGGGACAAACAGGTTATTCGTTGCTCCTGAGAAATTCAAGTTTAACCATGCACCAGTACTTTATGTGGCAACCCCTAGATCACTTTGGGGGAGGAAACATGGTAGAATTACTTTTCCAGTCCTGCAAAGAGAATCCAGGGCCTTTGCATGAGCTCCATCCCCAGGCTTTTTTTGGAGGGGTTTGGATACAGGGTCTCACTATGTAGCTCAGACTGACCTTGAACTCACAGTGATCCTCCTGCCTCAGCTCCCAAGTGTTGGGATTGTAGGCATGTGCCACCACTCTGGGCATCCCCAGACATTTTATATTTTTCATTTTGGGACAGAGTTTCACTAAGTTGCCCAAATTTTAAGCCCCAGAAATGAGCTGGGCTTGCACCGAACCCCTCAGCACCGTCCTGCTCACCCCTGTCTCAATCCTGGGCTGAAGGGACACAGAATCTGTGCCCAGAGGTCCCCAAACGCCCACCTATTCAGTTCAATCCTTGACAGGGATGAAGCAAGATTCTTCGAGTAGACAGGGAAACAGGGAAAACAGGGAAGCGAGGAGCAGGGGCCTGGCAGGGATGAAAGTGGCAAAGCCAGGCTCAGAGGTGGAGTTTGTGTGGTGTGAGACACCCCCGGTGGAAAAAGCCTCACCCCCTGGCAAGGAAAGCCCCTCCTCCTCAGGCCTCCCAGAAAGCTCCTTCTTTCCCTGGCCAGGTGTGTGGGCCTCTCGCTGGAGTCAGGCAGGTGCTCGATTCACGATCTCCTTCTGCAGCCCTGTGCCTGGCCGACACCTGCCCTTCCTCCATGGGCACTGCCAGCATTTGCCCCACTCTGACTGGCACTGCTGGGCAGGGCCAGTTCCTTGGGTTATAAATCGGGGCTGGGGGGCTGGGAATCTGACTGGAGGCCAAATTTGGGCAAACGAGAGAGGCAGAATGTTCTTTTTGTCCCCCTCTCTCTTGGCCACCTGCTAGTGGTGTGATCTTGGCCACATCTCCACCCTCCTTACCTCTTACGAGGGGTGGACCTGATAGTACCTGCAGCCACCCATGGGGCAGGGTCCTACACAGGCTTTTTGTACAGTAGTCCTTACTACTGAGAAGCCCAAAATGTTCCTCACTCCCCACCCCCAGTACGCAGGATTGCTCCCAGGCTTTCTCACTGAGCCACAACCCCAGCCTTGTTTTTGGTTTTTGAGTGAATCTTGCTTAACGGCCCAGGCTGGGCTGGATCTTGTGATCCTCCTGCCTCAGCCTCCCAGAATGCTGGGGTGGTAGGTGTGTGTACCACACCTTCAGTTTCTTAGACGGAGAAACAGATCTACCGCAGCTAGGAGAAAGGAGGGTGTTTGGGAAGAGTCCTGAGGCTCAGAGACTGGATATGGGGTCTTTGGGTAGGGACTCCTAACAGCTCAGCTAAAGGATGAGGGCTTGGGGCTGGGGTGGGGGGGAGACGCCCCAGGGCAATCCAGCCCAGGGATAGGTGCCACACAGAATTGAGAGCAGATGGAGGGAAGATGGGCAGCAGTGGGGAGGGGGACCCCAAAGGACATGGTTAGAGACCCATTCAGTTTAAACTCAAGGTGGAAAGAAAAGCGGGGACACCCAGAAAACACAAGCGCAGGGTACAGAGAGGGGTGTTGGTGAGGGTGCATGCTCAGCCCAGCCAGAGGGCAGGGAAGGCAGATCTGGGCGCAGGTCCGAGCAAGGGTCCCCCTGGCCGGGCCGGCGCAGCGCGGACCCACCGATGCCCCTCCTCTCTCCCCGAAGACCGAGCGCTGTTGCAGGGTGCACCGGACGCCGTGGAGCTGCGCGAGCTGACGCCCTGGGCCGACCGCGCCCCAGATCCGCGCCGTCGAGCGGGGTCCAGGCTGCGGCGCGCGCGTGCGCGGTCGGGGTCACGGCCTTGCGGCCTGCGAGAGCTGGAGGTGCGCGTGAGCGAGCTGGGCCTGGGCTACGCCTCAGATGAGACGGTACTGTTCCGCTACTGCGCAGGCGCCTGCCAGGCGTCCTCGCGCGTCTACGACTTGGGGCTACGGCGCCTGCGCCAGCAGCGGCGCTTGCGGCGGGATTTGGTGCGTGCGCAGCCCTGCTGCCGCCCGACGGCCTATGAAGACGAGGTGTCTTTCATGGATGTGCACAGCCGGTACCACACAGTGCAAGAGCTATCGGCGCGCGAGTGCGCCTGCGTGTGACCCTACCTCACCCTGCCCAGCAAGACGATGGCCACGCCCCCCGCCCTCGATGTCACCCACAGTCCAACCTGGACAGCCCCCGAGAAAGACCGCGCATGTGCGGAGGATGCCGTCGAGGCCGTGGGACTCTCGCGATAACTGTATTGAGATAAAGTGTGGGAAGTCGAGCCCGGCTAGTGATTTACTCTATGGAGACCCCACCAGCTGGTGCAGCCTACGGGTCTCCCAAGGGGGGCGTGGGAAGTAATACCTGCAGGGTGGTGGTGGGGACCCTGTTTTGCTTTGGGAAGGAAGAAAAGTTGATGGCAAAGAGGGACCTGTTTCGGGGGGACAAAAAGGAAGGTGTGGTGGCACACGGCTATCATTCTAGCATTCGAGGGGCTGAGGCAGGAGGACAGCATAGCAAGACTATCTCAGAAAAAGGTGGGTGCAGGGTCATTAGGACCATCCTTCCCATCTGCCGCTGGACCCCTACTCCTCCCGGGCATAACCCTATCTGCATCTTCCTTCAGTGTGTGCTGATGAGGGCACAGAGGGGCATTGAGGTCGGAGAGAGGATGAGCCATTATATGGATGAAGATAATGGGGTCTAGGAGGACCCAGGGCTCCCCTGCCTGACGCGCTCTCCTTTCACCAGCTAAAAATACTGTACCCGCACGCTGCCCATCTCTGGGTGGGTGTAGAACTGGGCGGGCGCCAGCCCCATCCAGCCGAAGCCAGCTCCTGCTGGGGCAGAGCTGGGTCCCCAGAGACCTGGGTCCTGGGCCCATAAAAGCCCTGGCCAGGCCTGGAAGAGGGATTTACGACGGGCCTGCACGAAGGATTGGAAAAAAGCTCTGGGCGGGTGTTTGGATTTGTCCCTGGTGTCACCTTGATGCTTGGCAGACCCAGGTGGCGGTAGAAGGCCGGGTGTTTTGTTCCCAGAGCCCAGGGAGGGGTCGGCCGGCGCCAGGGTCTTAGGGTGGGGGAGGGCAGAGAGCGTGCACCTCTCCCCTCCTGTCCCTCTGAGGCTGTCTGCAAGGTACAACTCCCCCTTGTGCCCTGACAGCTTTCCTAAGGCCTGGTCCCCTCCCGCTGTCCTTCCCATTAGGAGACATCACCTCCCTTGCGCCCACCTCCCGGGAGCACTCCTCGGGCCCCCTTTCCCTGAGGTATCTCCTGAGGGCATGGGTCCCTCCTCCCCTAAATCTGGGGGCCCCAGAGGTACCGGCCTCCCCTTCTCTCCCACACCCCTGAGTTCAGGATCTCCTCAAGCACTTCACAGGCTCTGTGCCCATCCTGAGGCTGGAGGGCATCACCATCAGAAGTCACCCCCAGGAGGACCACCGAGCCTTCCGGTGCAGCCTGGTTCCTGGCTCCCTGCCCCACCCCACCCAACCCCTGCCACAGCTGGAGACACTCAAGGCAGCTATGGAGCAGGACTTCCAGGGAGCCCTGGGGCAAGGATTGGTGGCCAGGCCCCAGCCGTGGGTGGTCTGCTTGGAAGCAGTTGCAGGCCCCTGACTGGCTGGGGTCCCTGCCTGCCCCCACAGACTTCTGACTCTGAGGTTTGGGGTGGTGGATTCCTGCTCTGTATGGGCTGACTCAGCCCAGGCTTAGCAGAGGCTGGAGTCCCCAAATGCTGCAAAGGGCAAGTGGCTCAGTTTCCCCATCCTGTCTGGCCCTGGAGGCCCCAAGCCTCAGAGGGGAAATTGCTCAGCCCCGGACAAAAGGGGAAAGATGGGTGCTGGAGCTGGGATATGCAGCGAGGAAGCTCCCTGCCTCGGTGTGTGTGTGTGTGCATGCATGGTATGTGTGCAAGGGTGTGCCTGTGCACACCCTCCCAGGGCCTCCTCATCTCCTGCCAGCTCCAGCACCTGACCACTGGCATGAGCTGCCTAAGAACTGGAAACAAAGGCCCTGGGGCCAGATTCTCAGCAGCACCCAGCATGCACAGGGCAGGGGTCCCAGTGTTACACACACGCATGCACACTCATGGGGGACAGTGTCACCACCAACATGGATCACACACAGACCCCGGACTCTGGTTCCTGCCTGCACAGAGGGGACCCCAAGGTCATGGCTTATCCCCAGAGGCACACGGGTCACTCATGGGGCCACACCCCCCAGCCTCATCCTCACACACACAGACATAGGGTCACACAGGTACAGCCTTGTCCCAGTGGCAGTGACAGATGGCCTCAGTCATTTAAGCACCTTGTACACCAGCCTCTCAGTGTCACAATGGAGGCACCCTTCCAGGGTGACAGAGCCACATGCTCCAAACAACCCTCCACCCACTGGCACACATGGGCCCGCATGCAAGCAGAAGCACACAGGCACACACAAGCCCGAGCCCCCAGCACACCCCCGTGACAGGTCCAGACCACCACAGGCTGAGTCTTCCATACCCATGTGCTCAGTCATGCGCTTGCCCTTCCCTGAGCTCTGCCATCCTGCTACTCATGCCTTGGTCCACACGCCAGCTGCACTCACCCCAGGCACAGGGCAGGAGAGGTCCCGTGTCCCAGCCCAGCCCTGTCAGACCCTGACAGTCTAGCCCTCCACTCCCCGCTCCCTTGGGTCTTTGTCACCTCATCCTGGCAGCACCCACCCCCAGGGACATCCTCCCAAAGGGCCTGACCTTCAGGGTCACAGAAGGGTCAGGAGCAGTGCTTTCCCGTCTCTTGACATTGGGGGTCACATCCATCCTGGTACACAGGGTCTCTCCTGGGCACCTTGGGGTGATTGGCCCAATCCTGGCCTTTGTGCAATAGACAACACCACTCCCCTCCCCCAGATAGGACAGTCCGAAGTGACTCTGGAGATTGGGGTGGGGGCAGAAGGGGAAATGGCTATTTTAGGACAAGGAGGGACACATCCATGTGCCTTGCATCACACCCATCTGGAAAATGGCAAGGACATCACAAGCCAGTCAGCTGGAAGAATTGTCACCAGTGAGCAAGATCCCAGAGAACCAGCTCCCCAGGGACAAGGGTCTGACAGGGTGAGGTCCCCCAGCAGCCAAGGTCCCCAGCAGGGGAGGGTTCTGGATGGTAACAGCATGGTGATGTGTCCCCTAGCAGGGCCTTGGATGATGAGTCCTCCACAGGTGAGTTCCCCGGGGAGGCCAGGCTGGCTGCATCATGTGAACCAGGCAGCAATGCTGCCCACCGTCTGGTACCTGGGCCCCTCCTGCAGCCGCCAGCAGGCCTTGCAGAAAGCCAGGGCCCAGCTACTGGTGCCCACCCGTAGCGTCTCCCGCCAGCGGAAGTAGCTCAGGTAGCGGGCATCGTCCTTGTCCAGTGCCAGCAGGTGCTGCGCCAGGGCCTGGGGGCTCGGGAAGTCGTCGACGTGGATGAAGGCGTCGGGCGGCAGGAAGCGCTCATAGTTGCTCCGGCTGGGGCCCAGGACCACGGGCACAGCGGGCGCCTGCAGTGCGTTCTTCCAGAGCTTCTCCGTGATGTAGTCGGGGTGCTGCGAGTTCTCAAAGGCCAGGTAGAACTTGTACCGGGCCAGGTGCTCCTGCATGGCCTTGTGGGGCAGCGGCAGGTGATGCGAGCCGTACACGTCCACCCGGAGGTGCGCCCGCAGCTGGTTGTAGTACCGCACCCTGGCTGAGTTCTCTTTCCAGTTGGACACAGCCCAGGCCACCAGCCGGGTCTTGGCCGAGAGGTTGACTGGCAGGGCAGTGGGGTGGCCTTCCCGGGGCTCCAGCCAGCCGTAGGGCGTGAAGATGTCCGAGTCGCTGCGGTAGGACATGGTGAGGTTGAAGTAGCCATCCAGGGCCCGCAGCTGGCTGCAGTGGCTGGGCGACTCCATGCTGAACCACACCCAGCGCTGGCCTGGTGGCCGAGGTGAGGGTGGGAGCTTTGTCTTGGGCCCGTAGCTGACCTCCCGGTGGTGTACGATGACCGCGTCTGCCCCGGGGTACACGCTGCGGTTGGCGGTTATGTGGCAGTGGGCTGTGCCCGGCCGTATGTCCGAGCAGCGGGACAGAGACACCGGGCTGTTGAATGGCCACGTCCACAGCAGGATGAGCAGGGCCCGGGGCCCGGTGGGCTGTGTGGGGGACGCCAGCCCTGCAGACCCACAGGGAGCTGTGGGGACAGGATCCGTGGCACTGGGCCCTGGTCTAGGGGACCCTGTGGGATGGTCCTGTGACACTCGCAGGTAAGAGAAGAAGCAGACAGCCAGGAGCAGCTGTAAGAGCAGCCCGGAGAGACAGTGCCGCCTGGGACACTGGAGCCGCTCCATGGGTCAGGGCTGCTGGGGGAGAGGAGAGGACAGAGCATTATGGATGAGAGCGACCACGTCTAGGGGGAACGTGAGTGACACAGTTAATGTTGGAGATCTGCCACAGGAAGTGTTTGTATCCCTCTTTCACAGAGGACGAAGCTGTGACCAAGGAACTCACAGCAAAGAAACAGCACGGCTGGATTTGTCTCTCACTACCACCCCCCAAACCTAACCATAGAGCAGCATGTGGTGACACAAATCTGTAACATCAGCACTCAGGAGAGAATTTTGAGTTCCAGGCCACCTGGGACTACTTAACAGATTGTCTCAACACCGGCCACCAGTGCTATCCAAAGACTCGCCCCTATGTCCCGCATTCCCCTCCATCGAATCTGTGGCAGAGAGAGGCAGGCAGGCATTGGAATGGTCCTGCAGGACCAACGAGCAGCATCCCTGCCAACGGAAGAAAGGTGGATGTCTCCCAAGTGCCCACTGGGAAATGGATGAGCACAGTGTGGTCCATCCACACGGGAGACACTGCATGGCCACCCCAGGGAAGGGAATCCTGGCACCTGCTAGTGCGGGTTGGAGTTTGATACCAGGAAATACCCAGGACACACATGGCTAGGTGAATTCATAAAGACCTACAGAAGATTAGGATGCACTGGGGCTGGGGTTGTGGCTCAGGGGGTGCTAGCATCCAGCAGGCGCTGTGTTCCATCCCCAGCACTGCAAAAAATGTTGCATTTAAATTCAAAAATAAAGTGACCGGAGCTGCAGGGGGAGGAAAGTATGGGGAGCTACTATTTAATGCATGTAGTGTTTCTGGAAAAGTCTTGGAGATGGATGGTGGAGAAGGCTTCATAACAATCTCTCTCTCTCTCTCTCTCTCTCTCTCTCTCTCTCTCTCTCTCTCTCTCTGCCCCCTCTCTCCCTCTCCCTTTCCCTC